TTTATTTCAAAACCCCCTTCCCCTCCCCCTTTTCTGATGAAGGGTCTCGGCCCGAAACGTCAGCCTCTCTGCTCCTATGATGCTGCTTGGCCTGCTGTGTTCATCCAGCCCTGCACCTTGTTGTCTCTCTTCACTCAAATAGAAGTGATGCTCTGCAGGCACAAATAGGCATTCGTAGTGCAACAACGGGCGTTGACTGTATGGCCTGCAGCAAGTCCCTCGGAGAGTGAGGGTGAGGTGTCAATGGTGGAAACTGGTTAGGACTGCCTTGAAGTTACTCAGTTATGTTTAGAGGTGGTCTTGTTCCTCCTGAACCCACACAAAATAGGTTAAAATGTATCTGCCTGGAGTTTCTTTCACTGGAGTGTACACAGTGTACGTAGCCCTGTCCTAAATTAGCTAACATGGTTCGCTGCATTTCATTCAACCTTGATTCACATGTTAAAAGGGAGTTACTTCCTGAAAGGGGCAGGCATTTTGTAAGTGACACATACCTGTAGAAAAGGACACCCCCAAAAGAACAGGCATTAACTGGCCTATAAAGCCTGCCTATCCCATTTTGCTGTCATTACTGTGTATTTAGCTCAGCTTTAAGTGAGTTAAAATTGGCTGCAACTTAAGCCAAATGCAGATCTGAAAATTCGCTTCCTGAATATATATCTCTCCTAAAGTCTAACTAAGGTCAAATTTTACTTAGAGGATATGATGGAGCTGAAACTGAATACTGTGAATTTACAGTAGACGGAACTGTATTTGTTGACCTTCATTTCATATCTCCTACAATCAATTCTGTTGAATATTAGCTGTGTTGCTTAAAAGAAAGGGGATACGATACAATCTGATTTGCTCCCCATTCCTGTCCAATTTCACCAACAGTTTTTGTTTATAACAAAACATGAGTGTTAACATTAAGATACTAGTAATTTAAATAAGTAACTGAGCTCAGCAACTCAAAAGGGACTAGTGCTGGCTACTAGTCTGGGGTAACTTTAGAGACACTGTACTGAAGTATATTTAAGATGCTCTACTTTTCCAAAAGTTGGTACAACATTCTTACTTCTATATGTAGTAGAACATTCAACAATTAATGAAAAATAATACCAGTTCAATGATTTAAATAAAACAGACCAGTTTGGTTCACTGTGGTATCTGAGCTCATCCGAACTCTACATCCTGAATTGCAGACATCACCAAACCCGTCAGTCATCACTTCTCTTCTCGTTGTCCCATGTTGGCTGGCAATCTCTCAACTTAATATTTAATTAAATTTATTTTCAATTGTTCCATAGCCTTGCTCCTTCTTATATCGCTGTCATTTCCTCCAGTTCTGATCACTGTTCTCCTCCAATTCTGAGCTCTTGTAAATCACATATTTTAATTGTTCCATCATTGGCTGTGTATAGGCATGGAATTCCTCTCCAAACTTCTCCATGTCTCTCTGTCACTAAGATGCTCCTTAAAATCTAGCCCTTTGACCAAACCTTGACACATCTCACCTCATAACTACTCATGGGATCTAACGTCAAATGTTCTTCTATAATTCTGTAAAGCACCTTGGTGCTTTTAATTACATTAAAGTCAATTCATAAATACAAGTTCTTGTTGCTGAGATCTGAATATATAAACATACAAATTAGGCACAGGAGTGGACCAATTGGTTCCTCAAGTCTGCTCTGCCATTTGGTAAAATCACTGCTGATCTAAATTTTGCCTCAACTTCACTTTCTTGCTACCACCCCTTCCTCCCCCACCCAATTCACCATTGACTTCCTTGTCAGTTATGAGTCTCAGCCTTAAAAGTGAGCCTGCTTCCACTACTCTCTGAGGAAAGAATTCTATGGACTAAAATCTCACTGAGAGAAAAAGTTTCCCTGCATCTCAATGTTAAATAGGAGGTCAATTTATTACTAAACTGGATTCCCAAGTTCTAGTCTGTTGCACTAGGGGAAACATCCTCTCAACATTCACCTTGTCAAATCTTCTCAGGATCTAATATGATTCAACAAGATCACATCTCATTCTTCTAGACTCCAACAGATGTAGGTCCAACATTTTCCAATGAGATAGGGAGACAGGGAAGCTAAGCAAGAGATCTGTACAATACCACCTTGCCACACTGTTTACATGTGATAACATACAGTCTGCACTGAAGCACCAAGGGTTTCATCTCCACAGCAAAGAATATTTGCAGTCAAGGCATCTATTTATCACTTAAACTGCTTCTCCCATTGAAAGCTGCAGTACAGCAATTTGTACCAAAATGATTGAGAAGTTTTTTTGTTAAAAATGGTTTTGAAGGCTACAACATGCAAGTATAATAAGGCAATGGCAATACCAAAGTAAAGAGGCAATATTGGATCCTTACATTCAAGTGCAAATTTGAAGAGATCATTTGAGAGATCAGCTGTCCAATTCTTTCTCCCACTGTTCTCAATCTGTTTGTGAACTGTGGACACAAAATCCAGCACCACTTCATTGAGAAGTGGGATAAACTTTTGGATAATTTGGGGTGAAATCAGTGCTTTATTTAAAACTAGTCGATCTCTTCTCCATTCTTCTCCACTTCTGTAAAATAGCCACAATGCAAGAAAGAGGGTTAAGAATGTATGAAGACTCGTTATGTAAGTGTCTGTGATAATGATCATTGTCTCAATCCTTTAGCATTTCTCTACCTCTTTGAAAACATTAATATCATAGCCTCCATCAAAACACCTCCAATTTCCATTAACTTGAAGCACTACTCCAACTCACTTAAAAACTGAAAGAACTGCGGATTCCGTAAATCAGAAACGAAAACAGAAATTGCTGGAAAAGCTCAGCAGATCTGGCAGCATCTGTTGTGGAGAAAACAGAGTTAACGTTTTGGGTCTAATAACCTTCCTCAGAACAGAAAGAAGAGTGACTGGACCTGAAACGTTAACTCTGATTTCTCTTCACGGTTGCTGCCAGACCTGTTGATCTTTTTCAGCAATTTCTGTTTTTGATTCCAACTCACTTTTTGTCTTTTCTATAAAATCCTGTAATATGTTGTTGTTCTGCAACTACAATCCCATCTTCCCAAAACTGTCCCATTGAGACCCTCCAAACTGGCTTGAGTCTGATCAAAATGACTAATGATATCTTGTGCAACTACAATGGAAGAATACTCTCTCTTCGTCTTCGTCAATCCCTCATTTTCTCTGAGGCTTTCAACATAGTTAAGCGTATCATCCTTTTCCAACACCTCTCCTTCCCAATAAGCTTCCATGACACAATTCTCATGGTTTCATTCCTACAATCCTACATTATAACAATTCACTGTGGCCCACCAGCACTTTCTCAGGATAATTAGAGATAAGCAATAACTGCAATCTTGGCAGCACTGCATACTCCCAAAGGTCAAGACAAAAAAAAGACTCCAACAGTTCCTCTTTCCATGCTTATAAGGACATTATCAATTTGTTTCCCACACTTCCTCACTCACAGGCTGCCATCTTGATATCATAAGTAAGCATGGTGATGCTATCACCAATTGGCTGCCTTATTTTCTACAATTCCAGCCATAACTACATTTCAGAAATGCTCGATTGGCTGTAAAATGCAATTGTATGTCCTGAGATCATGACAGGTGCTACAGAAATGGAAGTTTCTTTCTTCTTTGTTAATGCTTCTCTTGCTGGCATCCTGAGTTCTACCCTTCATAAACTGCAACTCATCCAAAATTGCACTGCTGACATACTAGTCTCTCTGATTTGTTAAGATTTACTGGTTCCCAATCTGTCAATGCAACAAGTTCAAATTCCTTTCCCTCTTGTACAGATACCTCCCTGGCTTTGATCTTTCTATCTCTCTAACTTTATTCAGCAGAATGTTCCTGTACCTCAATATTTGCTGTATCAATTTCAGCTTCTTTTACTTTGCTCCTCTTGTAATTCCTCCCAAGTCCCCTTACTTGCAACCTTCTTCTCCCTGAAAGGCCACCTTAAAAATGCTTTTCCATCCTTGCTTTTATAAATGCAAAATTCTACATCATATATTTAAAATGACAAGATCTCAGCATTCAAAAACTAGAGGTATTAGTTTGCTATAAATTCAAACTTACTTCAACAGGACTCCATATTTTTCTTTTCTATGGTCTCTGTAAGCCATCCATGGCTTCACCTTCATTCTCTCTGGAAACATGCCTTCAGATTTAAACAAGATTGCGGCATCCTCTGGGTTAATAATGTTTACACTATTGTTGTAACCGATCTTTTCCCTGAAAATGCACAAAAAAGCTCAACATAATAAATACATTTAAAGTAGCTGATTCAACAAACTGGATTGGACATAATCAAGGCTCAGGACAATTATTTTCTGCTTTCATACAGTTCAGATGGATGACAAAATGAGCTTTTTGTCATGCGACATTATTTGCATTATCAATCCAGCTGGAGATTGTAACTTCTTTTCAATATTCATTTGTTCCAATTCTAGAATTATAGCTTTTAATGTGTTGAATGTCAGCTAAATTTGCCTTGGGACTTGTCTGAATCCATAGTTCAATGATATTTTCATTACAAATTATTAGTCCCGACACAAATAAATACATTTTTAAACAGGATGGTTTCGATGGACTCGACTTCAGCTTCAAGTTTGCACAGTGTACAAATGCCTTGGCTCCTATTTTGAGTTGTTGATAAGGCCAATCTTATAGTGTGAACTCCAACAAGCACAATGACCCACTATTCCATTATCCTGTGGGATAAAAGCTACCCTTGATCAGATCATTTCTCACTGAATATGATACAAGCTCATAAAAGGCACTCAGGCAGTCTTGCTTGGTGTTGAAAAGTGTCTGATCTACTTCAGATTACATGGGAAGAGTAAGGTATCACAAAAGCTTGAGGAACAGGCGAAGCTAGCTGTTTCATGATACCATGACCAACAGGATGCTGATATCAAGTGAAAGAGTTGTTCAGCCTAACACACAAATGAGTAATGTAATATATGAATTTCAGTGCCAGTGTGATGCTGGATATATAGGACACTTATCCCAATGACTGGTGGATTGTATCAAACAACATATCCCTTTGGGTGTGCATAACAAGTAAGGTACTGACTGTATCCAACCAGTCAGCACTTGCAAAGCTTGCAATACCATGACCAACATTCAAAGTAATTCTGCAATCGGACATTTGCTGGACAATTGTGTGTAAATTACTGCAAGCTACCTTTAATTCAGCTACTTTTTAAGAAATCTCTCAGACAATCAAATACTGAAACAATTACTTAAGTTTTATTGCATTTAGCAATCAAAATAAGACCTCTCAAGTAAGTAAGCCTCACAAACCAACTTAGCCATTACCCGATTAATGTGGGATTTAGCTACGATTCCAATCAACACCATCCATCTCTGGATGTCCAGCATCCGATCCCTGTGCAACATTGTTCTCCAGTGTTCTGCTGCTGAAGAATCCTGAAGACGTATTCTTATAGGATTTTCTGTCTTGTGAAGTTTGTGATGTGACATTATTGATGATCGTTTAGATCCTTTTGTCCACAACATTGTTTACACTTCTGGAGTTATGCTGGACAATGCCATGTGTATGAAAGGATTATGCAGACAACCAATTTAGGATTATCAATTGGGTTCATGGGATGACATTATTGCATATAGTGAAGGATACATATATTAATGTTCAAGGCCTTTTTTTTCTGTAGACAGAAATAATATGTTTATGCATTCTCCTTTCTTTCAATGCAAAAAGGTGAAAGCCTATCGCTGGTTCATTTCTCAGGGCAATGTGCATGGTTTAAAATTTAAACAAAACCTGCCAGCTAACTGCCAATCATCATTAATTGACATATTCTCCATGGCAACATCTCTATCAAAGTCCACTTGCCAATCAATCAGCACTCTCCTTTAATGTAGTATGAATGTTGGTTTTCCCCTTGGATTGGTATTCTTGTGAACTGTCCTGCTAAGTGCAAGACAAAAAAGCTTCAACAATATGTGGTGTTTATCAGCAATACTCAAATTCTACACTCTCAAATGACTATGTAATCACAGAAATATTACTTCATCCAACAGGGATGTTCCCAAAAAGGCATTTGTTTCTTTCAGACCACAGATTTCATCACCAGCAGTGCAAAGTTGTACAAGGCAGATGACAAGCAAATTACTAAAACTAATTCCTTCATTGCCACAATCACAGAGCAATGTATTTAGTGGCTGATTACTTCGAACATACAGAACATTACTGAAGTAATGCATACGGACGTAGCTCCCTTCCCCAATTCCGTGACCTTCATGAGCAGAAAGCAGTTCCACTTCATTAGCCTTCAACTGTTGTGAAACTCTGGGCACACTGATGTGTACAAAAATGCCCGTTAATGCTGGTATAGCAGGTAGATCTCTTTTTCAATTTTCTACCCAGAGGCAGGTCCAATCCATAGCACCATGGTCTCCACATGGTCAGGGCATGGCGGTAAGTCTTGAGTCCTGTCCAGCTAGAAATGGGAAAAAGAACCCTAAGTTGTTGCCCCCATTCTGCTCCACAGGGCATATAGCCAACTGAATTGGCTGGCTGCCAAAGAGTTTGAACTGCTGTGACAACATATACATTTATATGAATGTTGTAGCCTGGAACAATGGTTAGTGGTGATAGCGGCTAGATTAGCATATGTGATGCCTTTACCTTTTGACAATCTAAGGTACCATCATTATTTGAAAAGCATGAAGATCATGTGGATAGCCACTCAAGGGCCAGGTGTGTCCTTTTCATCTGTGGATTAGTCTCCTTGAGAAAACCAACAAGGAATGCAAGTGAGCAAATTGAAGAGATAAGCCATGGGCATCAAGATCATGGCGGGATTAATCTCTAGAATCCTAAATTCAAATGCTTTGACAGATCAGGTATAATGTTGTAGTCCAGCTCTGCCAATGTCTGAAACATTTCAGTGGCATGTAGTGTATCACACAGCATCCTTATTGAGAGGTATTATGATTGAACCTTAGGAGCCCTAAGCACAACCACTGACAGAGGAGAATATTGAACTTAGGCTAAAAGGTGTCTTACGATCTGTCGCAGAGGTGTGTCACAACATGTCTGAGTAGGTTGATTAAACATATTTTCTCAGCAATTAATACTGCTGATCAATGAGACAATAACATTTAAGAGCAGAAATAGGTCATTTGGCACAAAAGTCTGCTCTGCCATTCAATGAGACCTGATAATCCTCAACTCTACTTTCCTGCCTTTTGCCTATAACCCTTGATTCCTTTGCCTATAAAAAATCTGTCAGTCTTGAATATACTTAACGACATAGCTCTGCAACCTCTGCAGTAAAAAATCACACAGATTCATTGCCCTCCGAGAGAAGAAATTCCTCTTATCTCTGTCTTAAATGGGCAATCCCTTATTGTTATATATTTCAATAAGGTCACCTCATTCTCTAAACTCCAATGCATCCAAGCCCAACTTACTCAAACTCTCCCCACAAGAAAATTCCTCCATACCTGGAATCAACCTAGTGAACCTTCACTAGCCTCCAATGCCAGTATATCTTAGATATGGAGACTAAAACTATTTGCAAGATTCTAGGTGTGATCTAACTAGTACTTATATAGCTTTAGCAAGACCTCTCTATTTTATACTCCTTTCCCTTTGAAATAAAGTCTGATGTTCCATTTGCTTTCCCTAATACCTGCTGAACTTATATGTTATTTTTTTGAAATTCATTCATAAGGATCCACAAAACCTGCTGCGCTGCAGCCTTCTGCGGTGTTTCCATTCAAATAATATTCACTTCTGCTATCCTTCCTGCCTAGTGCATAAATTCACATTTTCCTATAATACATTTTTGCCTACTTAATAATAGTTTTTTTATAGAGTCCCTACAGTGTGGTAACAGGCCCTTTGGCCCAACAAGTCCACACCAACACTCAGAACATCCCACCCGGACCCATTCCCCTATAACCCACCTAAACTACACATCTCTGACACTATGGGCAACTTAGCATAGCCAATCCACCTAACCTGCACATCTTTGGACTGTGGGAGGAAACCGCAGCACCCAGAGGAAACCTACACAGACATGGGGAGAATGTGCAAACTCCACACAGGCAGTCACCTGAGGCTGGGATCAAACCTGGGTCCCTGGGGCTGTGAGGCAGCAGTGCTAACCACAGAGCCACCATGCTGCCCTGTATATATATTAACCTGTATATATTTCTCTGTAGACTCTTTGTGTCACCTTCACCACTTGTTCTCCCACCTATTCCTGCGTCATTCACAAACTTGGTGATTGTACATTCACTTCTCTTATCCAAGATATTAATGTATGTTGTAAATAATTATGACCCCAGCACTGATCCCTATGATAGTAAGCACATCACTCTGACACTAAGCACAACACTTGTATAAATTTAACTAGTTGCAAGCTCCAATTAACAGGTATCAGTTGAAAATATAAATTTGTTGATTAAAATAGTTGTTTAAGATTCATCAGTTCACAAGATGTTGATTCTAATAAGTATGAGTTTGTTTCTATCCTCTCTCTGTCTCTGTCTCTGTCTCTCTCTCTCTCGGTGTTTCTTTAACTGAGATTTCTTAGAACCCAAGAGTTCTACCAGCATCCCCGAAGGGTTTGTGACAATTTTCAGGATATTTGAAAACTTTACCAGATGTAGAAGCCTTTTTTAAATTTCTGCAGAAAATTAAAATGAATTAATTGTGATATGCAATTATACATATAACATTATACAATGCAAAACAATTTATCACAAACATTTAACAATGAAGTTTAATTTTGCATTGCTTTAATAGTGCCTTACATTGTCTCCATTTTTACTTTAGTATACATATACAGTGGAAGGGGAACAAGGAGGTAGGTTTGGGATTCCACAGAATTTCACAATATGTGTGTTCCATAACACCCCCAAAATTTGATAACCACTACCGTATCCTTTGCTTTATATCTTGCATGGATTTCGTATTTGCTGATACTGCACACAGCGCGATATGACAGAAATTACTTAGAATTTATAGAGCTACTCTTAAACATATCCAATTCGAATTACAGTTTGATTGCTATTGACATACCTGTAAATCGGACCGTACTTATTGAAGTTACTTAACATGAGATTGTGCATATTTCTGATGCCACCATTTTTCCAGAATGTGTAGACACTGACCCAGTTGTTCCTCCATTCCCCGGGTATCGCGTTGTAGGATTTAAGAGTTTGGTCAGAAGATGTATACGGTTCACTAGTTCCTGAATGATGCCGGCAGATGGGAAGCTGGGTCCCATTCTCCACGAAGGCAGAGGAAATCTTATGATCATAAATGCTACCAGATACAGAGAATCTGAATATTCCCCTCATCATGGCTCTAACGGTTCAAGTGGCTCCGTCCTACTACGGATTATTCCTTTCACTGTCGTTTTTATATGCTGCATCCAAGGACTACTTTAACCCTGCCGAATAACGGCGTCATCCAAAGTTAATGTGAAACTTTCATGGAAAAAAAATACATGACGCAGCGCCACTAGGTGAAAGGTTGTGAGTCGGTTGCCTAAGATATTTCTTAGTGTTTTAGTATCTGCATCTGTTTGCAGAAGCGATAAGGTTACACTCAGCAGCAGCATTTTGTAAACTACAGATAAGAGCTAAGTAATTCTACGTTAGAAATGTCAGGGCTTCGTAGCGTTTGCCCAAGGGCCATAGATTTGATCATATCATTTTCATTGTTAAAAGTTTTGATGATTTTCCATGCTATAACATAAAAAAAGCCTTAATTTGCAATGTAGTTATAGCTATTCAAATCCAATGCTGTCAAATCTTCATTGGTGACAGCCCAATCCCTATCTCTCAATATCTCATATCTTGCAACTAACGCGATCAGAGGGAGGGAAAATGAATTAATAAGCTCAACTGTGCTAAGAAAATGCGACAATAAAGTATGCCAAATAAGTGTGACACCCCTCCACCGTGAAAAAAGAGCTAATTTGGAGCAAGCATTTCCAAAGCAACTTCTGGAATTGCACGTAGAACCGAAAAAAGAAAAAAAATAAGCTTTGAGTATCTCAGTTACACCTTGTGCAAAATTATATGACACCAGAATGCAACGATTACAAAGTATGTAGGTTACTCCAGTTAACAATCTGACATCTAAACCAAGCTACTTCAGCATTGGTCTCTCTGTAACAACTTTGTTGATGACAGAGGTTACCAAGATGATTTTACTTAGTTTGCATGTTGCTCTTTGTTCAACTTCAATGTTTGAAGGCTGTCTTTCTTTAAAATACAATTGCCCAAATCATTTCCCACAGAAATATAAACTGCTCATTAGCAATAATAAACAATTTTACTGCTGGCCCTTGCCTCCATTTCTTTCTGTTCCTGCTCAACTCCTACACCTGCCTCACCAAAATGCACAAACAATGAAATGAGGCAAAAACTGTTTTCAAATTGCTCCTTTAATTACTTTTGTCAATGTAAAAATAGTGTGAAATTCATTATCCTTCAATTTTTTTCACTTATTTTGTGTCCAAGTGCGAATAGTAGTAGGTGAAATTAACTTTGGTCAAGACACTATGTTTAACTACTGAAATAGCCAATAAGAAACACTAAATCAGTGACAAATGATCAAATTTTAGAGTGTGTTCTTGACTGTTCCACCTATATTTAGAACATAGAACAGCACAGGAAAGGGCCCATCGGCCCATGATGTTGTGTCAAAGACGATGCCAAATTAAACCAATCCCTTCTGTCTGCACTCGGTCTATATCCCTCCATTTCTTGCATGTTCATGTGCTTATCTAAAATACCCTTATTGTATCTGCCACCACCACCACCTCTGGCAGTGCATTCCAGGCTCCTACCACTCGCTGTGTAAAAAATTTGCCCCTCCCATTTCCTTTGAACTTTCCCCATCTCATCTTAAATGCATGCCCCCTAGTAATAGAGATTTCAACTCTGGGAAAAAGATTCTGACTGTCAACCCTATCTATGCATCTCATAATTTTATAGACTTATCAAATCCCCTCTCAGTCTCCACCGCTCAAGAGAAAACAACCCGAGTTTTTCTAGCCTCTCCTTATAGCTCATACTCTCTAATTGAGGCAGCATCCTGGTAAACCTCTTCTGCAACCTCTCCAAAGCCTCTATATTCTTCCTGTAATGTGGCAACCAGAATTGAACACAATACTCCAAGTATGGTCTAACCAAAGTCTTATAAAGCTGCAAATGACATCCTGACTCTTGTACTCATCTCCCCAACCAATAAAGGCAACTATGCCATACGTCTTCTTTACCACTCTATCTACTTGTGTGGCCACTTTCAGGGAACAAAGGACTTGAACCCCAAGATCCTTCTGTACATCAATGCTGTCCAGAGTTCTGCCATGAACTATATACTTTTCCGTAACATTTGATCTCCCAAAGTGCAGCACCTCATTCTTACCTGGATTAAACTGCATCTGCCATTTCTCAGGCCATATCTGCAACTGATCGATATCCTGCTATATCCTTTGACAACCTTCTACACTATTCACAACTCCAATGATCTTTGTATCATCTGCAAACTTACTAATCCACCCATCTACATTTTCATCAAAGTCATTTATATATATCACAAACAGCAGTGGTTGCAGTACAGATCTCTGCGGAATACCCGTCCACCATTGTCTTCTATGGGCAAGCCAATTATGAATCCAAGTGGCCAAGTCACCCTGGATCCCATGCATCTTAATCTTCTGGATGAGCTTGATAACTGTCTCATAATAGAGGAAAATATTTCTTAAATCTGTCATTTTAGTCAAACAAATTAATAGTAAAGTGCTGCAGATACAGAAAATATGAAATAAAAACAAAATGCTGGAGAAACACATGTCATGCAGTATCTGTGAAGAGAAAAGCAGAGTTAACATTTCGAATCCGATGTGACTTCTTCAATACTGATGAAAAATGATTAAAAGCCCTACTAAAATCCATGTAAACAACATCCAGATGTGTACCCTCATTGATTACCTTTGTCACCTCCTCAAAAATTTCAATCAAGTTAGTTAGACATGACCTGCACTGCACAAAGCCATGTTGACTGTCCCTAATTAGGCTATGCTTTCGCAAATGTGCATAAATCCTATCCCTCCAATAGCTTCCCAACCACTGATCTGAGACTCACTGGTCTATAGTTTTCTGGATTATCCCTATTTCCCTTCTTGAACAAAGGAATAACATTAACTACCCACCAGTCCTCCATAACCTCTCCAGTGGCTAGCGAGGATACAAAGATCTTGGTCAATCTCCTTGGCCAGCAATCTCCTCTCCTGCCTCTCTCAATAACCTGGAGAAGATACCATCAGGTCCTGGAGACTTATCCACCTTAACGTCTTCAAGAGATCAACACCACTTATTTCTTGATCTCAAAATGCCCTACTATTTATCTTGAGACCAGGGCACTCAATGCATACTAACTCATTAACCCAGGAGGCTTCAACAGTATTATTGGAAACACAATCTGGCAACTTCTACTTTCTCATGCTGTCCCTCTTTTTCAACAGCAGACTCATCAAGAATGATTGCCATGGACTGGATTTCCTTTCTGAAACACCTCAACCTTACAAGTTCTTCTCAATTTCAAAAACTTTCTTGTAACTTACATTTGACCACACCTTTGGCTACCTTCCTGATCTCTCCAAATTGTTTCTCAGTGTCTGAATGCCTTCAATGAGAAACACAATGGAAAATTTTGCAATGTCAAACACTATTACATAAATAATTGACTGGTTGCCCTCTTGTTGTTGAATTGAGATGAAACACTGTCCGCTAATAAAAGGAGCTTTCTTATCAAGAATCATTAAAGCTATTAGTAGGAAGCAGCGATGAGTAAAGAAGAGGTTACCAGCATCAAAAGCTTAGGAAAATAACTGTGTGTTTAAGATCAACCAATAAGATTGTACATAAATAGCTGATTGACCTGAGATGGTCAGAATTGAAAGACACTTAATTTTCCACTGAGGCACATTACCACCTCTAGGACTCAATACTGAGTTCAATGACTTCAGAAGGTGATCTCTATCCTTCATTTTGATTACAACCACCAGTATCCCACTCCAACATCCTTAGCCATGTATTGTTTTGTTTTGTTGATTTGTTGTCTGGAGAATGGACCCATTTTCCCCTTTTCATTCTTATCATTTTTACCCATTTTACATCTCTATCTCTCCTTTATCACTATTAGCACTCCTCTGCCTTTTGCTCTGACATCCTTGCTATCTTTCCCACTTGCTCTTCCACATTCCGCACCCCCGCCCACCCCCCCAACTTCAATAGCATAAATGCACCATTTTTCATCAGTATTGAAGAAGTCATACCAGATTCGAAATGTTAACTCTGCTTCTCTCTTTATAGATACTGCATGACATGTGTTTCTCCAGCATTTTGTTTTTATTTCATATTTTCTGTATCTGCAGCATTTTACTCTTCTTTTGTTGGACTAAAATGACAGATTGAAAAAATATTTTCCTCTATTATGAGACAGTTATCAATCTTCGAGGAACATTAATGGTGGGAAAAAGTTTAATGGAAATGGATAAATAGCAAAAGCATTGTTAAAAGCTTAGGGGCCTGTTGCAAAATTAGCTGGGTAACTTTCTCTTCAGTATTACCTTCACCTTCAACTCAGTGCAATTTTGGCAAAGGAATACATAAAAAAGGTTGCATGTATTGTTTTCAAAAATATTTCATATGACATGAAAGTCTACCAGGGTCAGACTTGATATAGAAATTTCTAAATGTATGACATTTAACGTGTTATAAGACAAAATGTGCTGTTGGGTAAAGACAAGTTTGTGTAAACATTTATATCAACGAAAACAAATTATTAACTGTGGCAAAATTTGTATTGGGACATAATTCTTGAACAATATTGTGCATTCAATGGCTTAATGAAAAGTAACTTAGCTCACTGCTTATATGAACTAAGATTGCCAACTTTGGTTGCATGTGTTCCTGGAGATTTAATTTCCATAGATCACTTTTGCTCATAAGTTCATAAGATATAGGGACAGGATTAGACTATTTGGCCCATCAAAGTCTGCTCCACCATTGATCATGCCTGATATGCTCCTCACCGGCATTTTCTTGCCCTCTCCCCATCACCGTTCAACCCATTACCAATTAAAAATCTGTCTAACTCCTCCTTAAATTCGCTCACTGTCCTAGCAGCCACTGCACTTTGGGGTAACAAATTCCACAGATTCACAACTCATTGGGAGAAGTAGTATCTGCTCAACTCTGTTTTATATTTGCTACACCTTATCCTAAGACTATGACCTCTTGTCCTAGAATGCCCCACAAGAGGAAGCATCCGCCCCACAACTATTTTATCTATACCTTTTATCA